CTCAAAATATCTTATTTAAAATGCTGAATTCAAACAGTGGAATTTTGGCAAGAAATAACTGGCTGTAGTGAATCTGGACATGTGTGTGTGTGTGTGTGTGTGTGTGTGTGTGTGTGTGTGTTCATCTAATTCTGATGGAGAAAGATTTCTTTTTCACTAGCCTGTTTCTCTTAACCAAAAACAACTAGAGTTTTTAATCTTTGCTAGATAGATAGCTGAATGAAAACATTAAGGTAGTTAATAAATCTTTCCACATATATAGAATCTGAAAATGATTTTAAAATTCATGTAAATTGCACAGAATAGTGGATTACATTTGGGTATACTGCAACTTGCATATAATATACATTGATTTTTTATGGGAGTTACATTGTTATTATTATTATTATTATTATTATTATTTAATTTTACAATTGAGATATTCCTAATATTCGCATTCATCACAGGTAAACTGTATCTGTACATTATATATTCTGATTCTTCTTTTTGTAATTCTGTTTGGCTCTCTACAATCCCTCCTTTCCTCATTTTCAATGATTTTTTCTGTTTTTCCATTTTTCTCCTTCTTTCCTTTTATACTCTCCTTCACTACTGATCCTTTGTTTTTGAAAAACTGCTTACTATTTCATTATATCTATTTTACATTTGCTTTCTATTTGCATTTTCAAATCTTCACACCAGTGAGATCATGCAGTATTTACACAAGTTTAAAATTTTATGTAACTGAAGGAGATTGTGAAAGTGCATTATTTTACCTACTAATGTGTAAAGTATATCATTAATGGCTGGGTATTTCATCAGTGTATAAAACATCATGCCTTCTTTATAATGTTCACCTGTTGATGGGCATTTTGAGGTGTTCCGAAGAATTTAGCATTACAAAATATTTTCTTATAAATATGGGTACACATACTTCACTCTGGTAAAATGTATTAAATTATTTTGGGAAGATATTAAGTTGGAGAACAGTTGTGACACATGAGCCCTGTAATACTAGATGTTTTAGGAATGTCCGCATTGATTTCCAGAGGTGTGTATCTGTTCACACTTCTATAAACAGTGAAGAAGAGTTTATTTCCCAAATTCTCTTAGCAGTTTTTATTGATTGTTTTCTTGATTATTTCCCATTTTCTGTAGTGAGATGGAATCTGAATTGTGTTAATTTGCATCTCTAAAAAGATAAGAATATTGAACTTTTCTCCATATATTAATTTGCCATTCATCATCTGAGAAGAGTGCATTCAACTCATGCTCATTTCAGAATTCCGAGTGAGTTTCCTCTTTTGGGCCACTTAGACTGATGTTTGCTGTTGGTGTCACATCTGGATTATCAGATTAAGATTAAAAACCATCTTTTCCAATTTTGTTAGAAGATTATCATAAAGGTGTATTCTTTGTGAAATAATTTTTGTGCATGTATTGAGATGAATGTGTGATCTTTTTCTAACTTTCCATTGATATATATTACATAAAATATGCTGTGATTATTTTGATTCTGCCATTGCCCCTCATTTACACTCTCTTATTCCCTGGTGTTCAGTTTCATCTCCAATTGTCTTGTTGCTGAACTTGGTCTTAGAAGAACTTCACATGCCATACACCTGGATGAATGGAGGTTCACTGAGTCCTTTCACAGAAGGAGAATTTTGAGAATATGAATATAGAAGGTTCAGAAAGTGTTAATCAGAGTAATTTTATTTTACATATTGAAGAGTTGATGGGGGACCATCAACAGTGTGAGTTGCACTGTAGTTTGAAACTGGAGAACATTATGTATTTTAGGTAATGGGAATCTGAAATTTGACTGCTTACAGTCTTCGTCATTTGGGTAGGTGAGTAGAATTGCCCATGTATAGTATGATAATGAAGGATTCAATGAAGAAAACCTATTCCATATGTAAGTAGTGATCTCTCTACACATGAAAAGTCCATTTGCTGCTAAGAAATGGAAGGATAAACAATTGTCTATGTAAATGGGAGTTTTCCTTGTTTATTCTGTTCTATGAATAGAAAAAAAAACATTAAAATGGGATTGTGTTTTGAAAATATAATTTTTATTTACAAAAGAAAAAATTTTACTTGTCTCTTTTTGCGTATTTTATTTATTCCATTATATCTCATCTATCAAATGTTTCTTCTCATTAAATTGTGAAAAGGCTACATTGTCCATCTTCTGTAACTGCTTCAGTGTGAGGTCAGTGATTTTGGGGCCCTGACAAGAGGTCAAAAATCTCACCCAGACGGAACTATCAAGAAAAGTAGGTTGTATTTGTTGAACAGTATTGTTTGCTAATCTGAAAATTATCCAAGAAAATGTGCATTTCAATGACTCTCAAGCTTTGTTTTAGAAGTAGATTTAATAAATACAGTCAGAAATTAAATTTATAGTATTGATATTGGTCTGAAAATTTGTCAAGTATGATAATGTTTGGGTTAATCTTTTATTAATTTAATATTTTTTAATCTATGAAGATTATTATATTCTAGTCATAAAAATGATCACATTCATTATAGGGACTTTGTTCTTTACATGATTTATCTTTATTGTTTTTATTTCCTTTTCCAGTAATCTCTCATCGATTACACTTCCCCTCCTTATTTACAACATCTTTATTTGTATTTTTTGTATTTCAGTCCTTATATTACTCTTCTTTCTTTTGCACTTTAAATTTGAAAATTTTCTTCCTATTTCACAATGTCTTTTATAATAATTGGGCCCTATTTCTTTCAATTTCTCAAACCAGACAGACAATGTACTTACAGTAACTTTCAATATATTTTCAGTTTCTCACACAAGACAGACAATGCAATATTTATACATGTGATTCTGATTTATTTCACTTAAGTACATTGTATTGAGGTAATGAAAAATTGTATCAAGTTTACTCTTCTTAATGTCTGAATAGTACGCCAATGCCTAAAATTACCACATGTCCTTTACTTCTGATGTACTGGTGGAAATTTAAGCTGCCTTTAAGATTTATGTGTTACACATTGAGGCACTGTAAACATATATGTGAATATATTACTGTGGTCTGATGCTATTTGTTATTTCAGTAAAATATCAAGTTAGGATATTCAATGAGTCAAAAGGGAAGAATAGTTTTAATTTTCTTTTTCTTTTTTGATATCAGGCTTTGAACTCACAACCTTGCCCTTGCAATACAGGCCCTGTCCCCGTAGGAAAATTGTAGCCCATAATTTTGATTTTCTGAGGAATCTCCACAGTGATTTTGACACTGATTGCAACACTCTACCCTCGCACCAACAGTGTAGAAGGTTTGCTTTTTTTACAGAGCTCCCCAGAATTTGTTTTTGGTTGATTTATTGCTAACATGTATTTCTTTGGATTGACATGGAAATCTAGCATTCGTTTATTCATGTTTCTCCAATGACCAGAGATGCTTAACAATTTTTTCATATATAAATTTGGTATTTCAAATTTTTCATTTGACAAATATCTAATTAATTTTAGATACCTGTATTATTCATTGATCTTTAAATTTAGGAGGTCTGATTTTTATTTTATTTCTTTATATAGTCTAGATATTTGTTCCTTCTCTGATAAAATGCTGAAAATGTTAGTTACCACACTATGGGTTTTCTCTTCATCTTATGATTTGCTTTTCTTATAGTGAAAAAACTTTTCAGTGAAAAGGTCACAGTTGTGGATGCTTTGTGATTTTTTTCTGTGCAATTGAGATTTTGTTCATAAAGCCAAGCTATACCAGGGTCATCAAGGCTTCTTATTCTATCTGCCTGTACATTTAGGGTTTTGATTTTACTATTTATATATTTGATCTACTTCAACTATAATTTAGTGCATGCTGGAAAACATAGATTTGGTTTTAATTTTCAGGATGTGGGAGCCAGATTTTCCAAAACCATTTATGGGGTTTTCATTCTTCTAGAGAAAGTCTATGGCTCCATTTTCAAAGATAAGCTGACTGATTGTGCTTGAAAGTATTTCTGCATATTCCAAATCGTTCCACTGATTCTTGGGTGATTTTCTTCTGCTTTGCCAATAGCAAAATGTTTTCTTTTAATCACAGTAGCTTTGCAGTCCCATTTCAAGTCAGAGATTGTGATGTCCCTTGCCTTGCTTTGTTCTCAGAAATATTTCTGGTATTCTAGGTCTTTTCTGATTCCAAATAAACTTTAGAATATTTTCTCTAATTTTGTGAGATATGCTGCCATAATTTTTCTATGCATTGCATTAAATCTCTATAATTGCTCTGGAAGCATGAACATTTTTACAATATTCATTCTTCTGCCACAAGAATAACAGATATCAACCCATTTTTTATATCTTTTTCCATCTATCTTTTAGAAAGCAATAGTTTTCAAGAAGAGGTCTTTTAATTTGTTAGATCTATTTCCGTGTATATTGTTTTTTTAGGATGGATCTATGGGCATAAATTTTTCCAATACCTCTACAAAAATCTATGAATGAAGAGCAGTTTTAATTTTTTATTTAATGTAATATGATTGCTAGAAAACTGACCACTTAAAACAATTGAAGGGCTTGATTTTATGTGCTTGACCTTTTCAGACCTTCAAGCATGAATACATGAAAGTGTCTCATATTTTGATGACCTATGCCCCTGTTAGACAAATCAATTTCATGGGTAAGTGTTGCTTGGCCTCGAGTGAGAACTGTTTATATTCCTAGCTGTCTTCTAGTCTTCTCAACTAAACAATGTGACATTAATCCCTGATGTAATACCAGCTTAAATTTCTGCTTGTCTTTCAGTAAATCAATGTTTAAAAGTTATATTAAATCTTTCCAGTGTAGCTCAGAGATCTGAGGAAGTCATCTATAGATATTAATGTATTTATCAGTGTCATCTGAAACTTTCCTAGATTAAGTTTAAACTGCTTTACATCAGTGAGAAAGAGAGAGAATCGTGAATTTAGGGAGTTTCATATGACACAATTATAGTTTGGGAAAAATAATACTTATTTTGTGAAGAAAGGTTGAACATAAGGCGACTCTGAACTTCTGTCAAATTTTCCAAAATATAACCTTAGTTATGGTCAGGCACCATGGTTAATTATTCTCTGTCATTTACATTTTGCCTCTAGAAAGGCTGTTGCTCCTGTTAAGGGTCAGGAAATAGCAAATGGCACTTTTTTTTTTTTTTTTTTTTTTTTTTTTTGGTGTCAGGGATTCAACTCATGATCTTGTGTTTTCCAGGCAAGCTCTTGTGCCACTGGGATGAAGCACTGGCCCTCAAAAGTCACATTTTCACAATTGAAAGATAAAATATTTTGCAGTGTTTAAGAATATATTCCAAAGGAGTAAGGCATATTGATCTTAAATTGATCATTTTTAGAAAGAATAAAATAGCAGGTATTTGCACTAATTTCTATTTAATTTTTATATCCCAAAATTATTCCATAAGGAGATTCCACTCTACAGCAGGTTGAATCCATCCAAAATGAGCTCAGAAGATAAAATCTGACAAAACCATCTTTGCTCAAAATTGTGTGTAATTTTTCTTCTCCAGAAATTTGTGTATCTACATAAATGTTTATGTAAGGATAAGTTATGATTGATCTCAGGCATAACAACCTATTTAAAGGAGAAAGCACAGTTTACTACTAAATTAATTCTTTGTAGTTCTTTGAAAGTCAGGCAAATACCAAAAAATGAATTGAAAATTTTTGAACAATATCCCGCCTACAAAGGAGGTCACTTCTAGTGACCAATTGGTAATAATGGCTTGGAGAAAAATCCTACTCTGTGTTTTATGGTGAAAAAGTCTCTAAGACATATCAGTTATTTGCCTAATCATTTAAACAATGTTTTATACCACTAAGACGTGACTACATATTTTAAATCCATTTTAAGATTTATATGTTTTGAAGTTCATGTGTTAAATTTATATCCATCACCTAATAATCACAATTTACTTGTGAATAAAGGCATATTTATTTGTCTTCTTCCACATGAAAGTTAAAAGGCTGACTAAATCTCTACCTTACTCTTAAGCAGCAAATGTCACGCACATATGCAAATCATTTCCTTGATAGCTGTTTTCCTCATCCAGAAAAGGCAAAAAGTCGTTCAAAGCAATAGGCCTGATATTTAGAAGATGTGCAGTCTAATGATAATGTTTCCCAACAGTTTGGAATAAAATGTGGAATTTCCAACTGAATAGTAAAGAGACAAAGTATAGTAGACAAAGGGAAACTTTTCTGCATCTAGGAGCCAGTTTCAACTGAGGAAGTTTTATGTTTCTGCCAGAGAGCAGCACTGGCCATGACACCTCAATAACTTGATAGTTACTTGATCCAACACAACCAGATATCTGTCTACAAAAAGGAATGTGCCTGTCTCATCAAAATTCCATTGGTCATTTGCTTCAATGGAGGACCAACAGCAATTGATAGAGAATTCTTTACTCTGCTTACATACATACTTATAAGTAATCTATCTTTTGGCTTGGATCCCCATGTCCTTTCAAAGCCTCATGTGTTTATAGGGAAGACTTTTCAAAGGTGCATAGACTTAGAGCCTATGAATAAGTTTTAAGAACATGTGTTAATGAAATAGCTTCAGTATAGATCTGGGAGGGGACAGTGGAAATATCACCCTGGCCTGATTTCATCATATATGCTTTAATCCCTACATGAAGATAAGGCATAAGGGAGTTTAGCTTCTGTTATTAAAAGCATTGCTGTGCTTGGGTCTGTTTCCAAGATATAAGCAGCTAGTAGTATTTGCAAAACATTCTGCCAAACTCTTCAATGTGAATTTTCTGGAAAATTATATATTTTTCTTTTCTCAAGCAGTTTCCCTTGCTCTTGTCACTTCTGATGCAATTCGACTCCCTTCTCATTAGGCAGTGCCCCACAAGAAACAAATCTATTAACTCTTCCAAGGTATCCTAACCCACAGTCACAGTCATATTGTTAGTTGGCTCAACCAGTTGGCTCACAGGAAGGGTGAATTGATTTCTTTTTCTTCGTGTTACTTCCCCTAGGCCCAGCATGGTTTGTGCCAGTCATGGGTAGGGTGCATTTGGCTTGTTCTCTACCCAGGACTTGCATGCCTGTGACAGGTCATGGGAAGGGAAAATTGGATTCATTTACTTCTTGGTATTTCTCTCAGACCCAGCACAGCTTCTGTTGACTCACAGGACTGGGGAATTTGGCTTGTTCTTCTCTCAGGATCTGCATGGCTTGTCCTACGTAACCGGAAAGGTGAAGTGGTTTCTTGTTCATCTTGATAGTCCTCCCACACTCAGAATGACTTTGCAAATATTCTTGCTTTTAACAAAATAGATCATTTAAGAGATACGTGGTGACACTGAAATTTATGAAACTCTTTCAAGCATAACGTCACACAGGAAATTGCAGGAAACATTTTACATGTCACAACAGTACCTTCAGAAACATCAGCAACATTTTTTTTGTCTTTTTCATTTTTATCAGTACCAGGGATCGAACTCACAACCACACACTTGCAAGGCAGGTGCTTATGTCGCTGAGCTAAATCCCCAGCCCCACATCAGCAAATTTTTAAAACTAAACAAATAGATATGTAATATAATCATTTAATTTTGTTAACAACTGCTATCTTTTTACGTGATTGTGAATTTCTTTATGTGTTTGATTGTGCAATATTAAAGTCATCAATTATAGTAATGTATATTTATATTACCACAGTTCACAAGAGATAAAATATGAAAGTCAATTATTTGTACTCACGCAGGATAAAAGAATATGGAAAATGTGGTGTACTTACAGAATAGGTGTATGTTTGACTTGTTCTAAATAAAGTGATTTGGCATTGAGAAAATAAGTGTAAATTAATTGCAACAAAGAAAGTTAAATATCACACTATCTACTATTTAACATAGTAGACATACTGGAAACAATTCAAAGAATCAAAGAAACTTGTTAAGGAAATGAAAAGTGACTTCTGTGGAAAGGTGAAGAACTTTGAGGCAAAGGGAATGATAGAGGGAATGTACAAATAATGACCAAGATGTGACATACAATTTTTACATATCACAAACATATATTGATGTTATTTAAGGAATGTGGGATTAAAAAAAAGTAAAAGAAATTTGGAACATTTTTCAGGTGAAATGATAGCCTGGAATGTTGGTAAGAGAATAAAGAGGCACCTGTGATACAAAATGGAAAACTGTGGCATTTCCAAAGCAGTATATTGTTTTCAATGCAAAAAGATATAAAATGTACACAAGGATATATTGTAGAATAAATATTCAAGTAAAGATCTTGAAGATATGAATTTACTTTCCCTGATTGCTAATTGCTGAAAATACTGGATTTATCTGTTGGCCTTTTCATTTTTGACTCAGAAAACTCTTTATTCATTTCAATTGCTGATTTCTTGTGTTCAGGGTGATCAATTTTTTGACTTTTTTATATATTATATTCTTAATAGTCATCGACTGTCAAAGGAATAGCTGGAAATACTGTTGCACTATATAAGTGAAATAAATCAGAAACTTTAAATACTTCATAGTTTATTTTATGAAAGAAAACAAGAGTATAAATTTGTTAAATAGAAGAAAAGGTAAATTCAAAGATATTTTGCAAAAGCTAAAGAAAATGGAGGAATGTTAGACGGAATCTGGTTAAAGAATTCAAGTGTTTTGTGCACATGTGTAAGGGTCTACAATAGATGCATCCATTATATACAGTAAACACTATTAATAAAAATGAATACAAAAACCAAAAAATAAAAAAGTTAGAAAAACTTGAGACAGAGGGAGCTAATCACAAGTAAGTTTGAGAAACTGATTAACAGGATCCAAATGAATGCTTGTGCTGTTTTCTCTCAGAAAAGATCAGAACATAGGGCTGGCACACACATTCTCACCACAGAGAGGGGGTCTAAAAATGCAATAGAAGTGACCATGAGCTGGGGCATGGATCAATCTGCTCATAAATCAGAAGAGTATAAACCTAGAAAACAGGAAAGACATTCACACAGCATCAGATCCTAAGTGGAGGACACCACTGTTCATGGCACTCAATATTTCACATGTTCACAAAACAAGCATCATTAACATAAAAGACATGATCTGAGTATATGGACAGAAATGAAGACTGATGAATAGTCAAAAACACAAGAGTACTATCACAATAGTGATCATATTATCTTGAATATGTCTTTTTTATCAGACTTTCCCAGTGCACTCATGTTTGCTGTGGACACAGCCTGCTCTGAGGGTCCAATAACAGTGCTATTTATATAGCAGGGATAAATGCAAATGAAGCTTCTCTGTGCCCATGAAAACCAGCCCAGGCCTGATCCTGAGCTCTGGACAGAAACTGAGCCTAGGATGTGCAACTATTACCATGAAGTGATCAGAAATGAGCACAGACAATCACTATAGATTTGGGGCTGAGTTGGGTTTTCCTGTTTGCACTTCTGAAAGGTAAATTGTGAACAAGAAATAAAGGAAGGGGAAGTGGACATGAGAGGGATAACAGTGGACATGTGTGACAATTTCCAGATCAGGATCTTCTTTTGTTTCCATGTGTCTAGGCTTATGAGGAGTTGTGGAGTCAGGGGAGGCTTGGTGAAGTCTGAGGGCTTCCTGAAACTGTCCTGTGCAGCTTCTGGATACACTTTCACTAGCTATGGCACTGGTTCTGCCAGCCTCCAAGGAAGGAACTAGAGTGGAGGACATGCGTCAATTATGATAGTAGCTATGTCAGCTACACAGACTCCATGAAGTGCCAATTCACTACCTGACCAGCAATGGCAAGGATACGCTGTAACTGCAAATGAGTAGCCTAAGACCCTAGGACATGGCTCTGTATCACACTGCCAGCAGACACAGAGTGAGGGAACATCACTGTGAACCCATACAGAAACTCTCCTGATTCAGAACCAGAAGGCGGCGCTCTTTCCATTGGGAAAGAAAGGCAACAAGAGCAGGTGCAGGAATGGAAGCTGGCACTGAGGGCTTTCATTTGGCCTCTAGGATTTTCTTTCTGTTTTAACGTTCTATGACCTGAAGAGACCGTGAAATACATAGCCTTCAAGTGACTTTTGACCTACCCGAGGTCAACTGAACATTTTGGTTAAAGTTAATTGTATAAGTGCATATACATGTATGTACGTTTTTCATTTTCTATTTAGGAATTTCACTTAATGGTCATCCATTGCCACCTCAAGGAAACTTAAAAATTTTGTGAAATGAAATTTCTTTTAAATGTCAAATTAACCAATGTGGTGGCACGTTCTTGTAATCCTAGCACTTTGGAGGCTGAGGCAGGAGAATCAATTGCAAGTGTGAGACCAGGCTAGCCTGCAAAGAGAGTGCAAAGCTAGTCTTAACTGCATAGTGAGATCATGTCTCCAAAAAATAAAAAATGTCGAATGAACATGATCTAAAATGAATTTGCTACTTTTAGGCTAATGATGAGATGTCAAATGCCAAAATACTTGCATAGGAGAAGGAAATTAGATCCATGACATCGCTGTGTATAAGATGTGAAAGTACATGACACAATCCCCACCTTGGCAATGTAAGTATATCTGATACCCAAGCTCAGCCCAGCCCCAATAAGAGTCCTTTCCTCAGGGAGGAGGGGAGAGCAGAGAAGGTAGCTGATCTCAGGACAGAGTCCATGGGCTTCACTGAACACTTTCTGTCCAAGGTCACTAGCAGGACTTGGGTTTCCACTTTCGTTTCAGACCTAAGAATTTAGGAATTTATGAAATACAGCATGGTACACTGTAAACAGGCTCTTCCCTCCTCTATTCTTTTCCCTCCTTCACTCTCTCTAGCTGCCTCATTTAAATTATTTATAAATGGAAAAAATGTGTGAACAAATACTCCAGTTTCATATATTCAGTTTACTTCCTAAACTGCTGTTCACAATTATAACTATATCCCCTTAGTCTATTTTATGTCTCTTTTCTTTGTTAATTAAGCATTTATCAGTGGTGCATATTTTATTAATTTTTAATTTAAAGAGATTAAGACAAAATAATACAGGACAAAGAAGAGCACAACACAACAATGTAAGCAACACAGTACTTCACCACAAGACAACTGTATGTAGATTAACAGTAGCTACCATAATGTCTCTTTTTTTGAAATACTTGAGCTAACCTTCACATACATTAGTATCAACCATAACAAAATAGTAAAATACTATTCAGGAGAATGAAAGTATTACAGGGCATTCAGAACCAAATAACCAAAAATAAACAATGGCTACTCTATCATCTCATTTTCCATAAAATATTTGTTTATACTGTCACACAAAATAAAATCCAGTGGATAGAACCAGTGGAAACATAAGAACAAAAGCATGGTAGCACTTCAAACCAAGATGATATTAAATCAGCAATGGTTATTTTAATATTTTACATTTAATATCTGATCATACTATCACAGATAATAAAATCAAACAAACTAGAATAAAACCGTGCCAACTAATGAAAACATTGTGCCTTCAAAGCAATGTAATAGGGAATCATGATTACCAAAAAATCTTATGTACACTTACCATTTCTTACACTAGGGAGAATATACAGTATTTATACATGTGAGTTTGATTTATTTCACTTATGAGCATGGTCTCAAGCTAAATCTATTTATTTATAAATATCTCAATGTGATAATTCCTTATAGCTAAGCACTACTCTATTTTATAAAAAGTACCACAGCATTTTTATCCATTCCTCAGTTCATCGACACTTAGATTCTTTCCAAGATCTGGCTATAACAGATTGTGCTGCTATAAACATGGGTGCACTTATACCACTGTGGTATAATGTTTTATATTTTCTTCTGGGAATATGACTAGAAATGAAATAGGTTTGTCAAATGGGATGTGGTAGTTTTCTTTATGATGATCATTCTTTCTGGAGTGAGATGGAATTTCAGTGTGGTTTTAATTTGCATTTCTGTAATGAGTGATGATGATGAACACGTTTTCATGTATTTATTTTCCATTTGTATTGCCTCATCTGGATACTAGTGTGAAGGGTGTGGCTTCTTTTATTTCTCTCTCAGTGATTTTGTTGTTACTGTATAGGAATGCTACTAGAAAAAGAGGAGCAGGTCAGGCCCAAAGCCAAAAGAAGGTAGGAAATTATAAAAATCAGAGCAGAATAAATATAATAGAGGCTAACAAAACAATCCAACAAAATCAAGGAATCAAAGAGTTGATTCTTTGAAAGAATAAACAAAACTGATAATCCCCTACCTATCTTATTTAAAAAGTGAAGAATAAGCTCAAATTCATGCAATAAGGAACAAAAAAGTTGAAATCAATATAGATTCTGTCGAAACACAGAAGATCATCCACACCTATTTAAAAAACTTCTACTCTCATAGGTTTGATAACACAAAAGAAATGGACAGATTCCTAGAAACAAATGAAGTACCAAGGCTGGGTGAAGAAGATGTAAAACTGTAGAATAAACCAATTTCTATTAATGAAATTGAAAATTAAGTCCCTACCTACAAAGAAGAGCCCAGGCCCAGATGGATTCATTGGGGAATTCTAAAAGAAATACAAAGAAGACTTAATGCTGACATTCTTCAAACTCTTTAATGAAATCAAAAGGAAAGTAATTCTTCCTGAGTCACTTCTGGAAGCAGATATTACTCTACTACCAAAAGCTGATTAAAGAGCCAAATAAAAAGGAGAACTACAGGCCCATCTCCCTAATGAATAAAGGCACAAAAATCCTCAATAAAATTTGGCAATTAGGATGCAGTAAATCCTCAAGAAGATTACATACCATGGCCAAGTGTGATTCATCCCAGGCATGCAGGGATGGTTCAACATATGTAAGTCAATAAGTGCAATTCACCATATCAATAAGGCCAAAAGGAAGAATCACATGATCATCTCTGTAGAGGTAGAAAAAGCATTTGATAAGGTCCAACACTCATTCATGCTAAGAAACTTACAGGAAATTGGAATAGATGTTCTTTACCTTGATATGATAAAGGTCATCTATGACAAACCAACAACCAGCATCATATTAAATGGCCCCAAACTGAAGGCCTTTACTTTAAAATCAGGCACAAGCCAAGGATGTCCCTTATCATTGCACCTATTCACCATAGTACTGGAAAACTGGCCAGAGCAATAAGACAAGAGAGAGAAATAAAAGGGGTAATGATAGGAAAAGAGGAAGTTAAAGTATCAATATTTGCAGATGACATGATATTCTACATAGAAGACCCACAAAACTCCACTGAAAGACTCCTAGATATAATAAATAAATTCAATTATGTAGCTGGATACAAAATCAATACTCAAAAATCAATAGTATTTCTATACACTAACAAAATCACTGAGAAAGAGATAAAAGAAGCCACACCCTTCACAGTAACATCAAAAAATATGTTATATTCAAGAATTAATCTCACAAAAGAAGTACAACATCTATAGAGGGATAATTATAATACCCTGAAAAAAGAAATTGAAGATCTCAGAAAATGTAAAGACATCCATTGCTCATGGATAAGAAGAATCAATATTGTAAAAATTGATAATTACCCAAAAGGGTTATATAGATTCAATGCAATCCCATTGAAAATACCATCAACATATCAAGTAGATCTAGAGAAGTCAATCCTAAATTTCATCTAGAACCAAAAGAGACGTAGAATAGAAAAGGCAATTGTAAACAGCGAAAGCAAGGCAGGAGACATCACAATCCCTGACTTGAAGTTATACTACACAGAAACAATAAGAAAATCAACATGCTACTGGAATAAAAACATCTGAAAATTAATTGAATAGATTAGAGATACAACCACAACTACCAACGCATTCAACTACCTTATCTTTGATAAAGAGGCAAAACATGTTCACTGGAAGAAGGACAGTCTATTTAGTATGTGGTACTGGAAAAACTGGCTCTCCACATGCCAAAAACTAAAACTAGACCCATCCCTGTCACCATGTACTAAACTAAAATCTAAATGGATTAAAGATCTGAATATTAAAAGAGAAATACTCAATCTGTTGGAAGACAAATGAGGTAAAAATCTTGAAGACATAGGGATAGGTAGAGACTTCTACTTTGAAGACATAGGGGTAGGAATCAAACTACATGGGAAATATTTCCCAGAATCAATAGCTGGGATCACATCTTATCAAAAAATTTCTGCATGTCAAAAAAAAAAATATCCGGCATAGTGAAAATAAAATCCTCAAACTAGGAAAAAACATCTTAGTTAACTGTCCCTCAAACAAAGGACTTCTGTGTAAAACGTATAAAGCATTTTAAAAAATCAGACCCTGATAAGTCAAAAACTGGGCATCTGAGATGAATACACACTTCTCAGATTAAGAAACACAAATGACAAGTAAATACATGAAAAAATGTTCATCATCATTACTCATTAGAGAAATGCAAATTAAAACCACACTGAGATCCCATCTCACTCCAGAAATAATAGCCAGAATCAAAAAACTACCAACAAATTCTGGAGAGAATATGGGGAAAAAGAAATTCTCCTACTCTGTTGGAGGGTGTGTAGACTGGTGCAACCATTGTGCATGTCAGTCTGGAGATTCCTCAAAAAGCTGAGGTTGGAAATCCCACTTGTTCCAGTTATTCCACTTCTAGGCATATTCCCAGAAGAACTGACAGCATCATACCACAGTGATATATGTGAACCCATGTTTATAGCAGCTCAATTTGTAATAGCCAGATGTTGGAAACAACCTAAGTGTCCATTACTGAGGAATGGTAATAATATTATGGTATTTTTTTATAAAATAGAGTACTAAGGCAGAAGTAGCCATTCTGTTTGCAGACAATGTGAACTTTAAACCAACAATGACCATAAAGAACAAAGAAGGTCACTACATATTCATAAGGGGAAAACTCCATGAGGAAGATATACCTATCTTAAATATATATGCACCAAACTCCAGAGCACCCAGTTATATAAAAAAACTATTAACAGAAATGAAAACTCAAATTATCAGTAACACAATTGTAACCGGAGACCTTAATACGCCATTGACACCAAGGGACAGGTCAACCAGACAGAAAATGAGCAAAGAAATAACAGAACTGAATCACACCTGCGAACAAATGGATTTGATAGACATATACAGAATGTTCCACCCAACAACATCAGAATACACATTCTTCTCAGCAGTACATGGATCATTCTCTAAAACCGACCATATATTAGCTCACAGAACATACTTAAACAAATGCAAAAGAGTTGAAATCATCCCTTGCATGTTATATGATCATAGCGCTCTGAAATTAGAAATTAATGATAAAAGATACTGCAAAAATCCCAGAAACACATGGAAACTGAATAACACACTCTTGAGTAATCAGTGGGTAACAGAAGAAATTAAAGAAAAATTAAACAATACCTAAAAGAAAATGAAAATGCAGATACAACTTACCGGAATTTGTGGGATGCAATGAAAGCCGTCCTGAGAGGAAAATTTATTGCACTGAGTTCCCACATCAGGAAAACAGAATGAATACCAATAAATAACTTGATGCTACACCTCAAAAAGCTAGAAAAAGAAGAGCAAGTCAAGCCCAAAGCCAAAAGAAGAGAGGAAATTATAAAAATCAGAGCAGAAATCAATGCAATAGAGACTAAGAAAACAATCCAAAGAATCAACGAATCAAAGAGTTGGTTCTTTGAAAGAATAAATAAAATCGATAAGCCCCTAGCCAACCTTATTAAAAAAAGGGAAGAAAAAAGCTCAAATTCATGCAATAACAAATGAAAAAGGAGAAATCACTACAGACCCAATAGAAATACAGAAGATCATCAACACCTATTTCGAAAACCTCTACTCTCAAAAGTTTGATAACACAGAAGAAATAGACAGATTCTTAGAAGCATATAAAGTGCCAAAGCTAGATCAAGAGGATGTAAAACTGTTGAATAACCCAATCTCTGTTAATGAAATGGAAAATGTAATTAAGTCCTTCCCTACAAAGAAGAGCCAAGGCCCAGATGGATTCACTGCAGAATTCTACAAGAAATACAAAGAAGACCTAATGCCGACACTCCTCAAACTATTCAATGAAATTGAAAGGGAAGCAATCCTTCCTAAGTCATTCCTGGAAGCAAATATTACTCTAGTACCAAAACCTGAGAAAGACCCAACTAAAAAAGAGAACTATAGACCGATCTCCCTAATGAACACAGATGCAAAATCCTCAATAAAATATTGGGAAATAGGATGCGGCAAATCATCAAGAAGATTATACACCATGACCAAGTGGGATTCATCCCAGGAATGCAAGGATGGTTCAACATACATAAATCAATAAATGCAATCCACCATATCAATAAAGCCAAAACTAAGAATCACATGATCATTTCTATAGATGCAGAAAAAGCCTTCGATAAGGTCCAACACTTATTCATGATAAGAACTTTACAGAAAATTGGAATAAATGGTCTTTACCTCAATATAATAAAGGCCATTTATGACAAACCAACAGCCAGCATCATACTAAATGGCCAAAAATTGATAGCCTTTACTTTAAAATCAGGCATAAGACAAGGATGTCCTTTATAGCCACTCCTATTTAATATAGTACCGAAAGTACTAGCCAGAGGAATTAGGCAAGTGAGAGAAATAAAAGCGGTAAAGATAGGAAGAGAAGAAGTTAAATTATCATTGTTTGCAAATGACATGATACTCTACATAGAAGAACGCCTAAACTCCATTGAAAGACTCTTAGATACAATAAATAAATTCAGTAATGTGTCTGGATCCAAAATCAATAATCAGAAATCAATAGCATTCCTATAGACGAACAACAAAATCACAGAGAGGGAAATAAGAGAAACAACACTCTTCACATTAGCAAGCATAGAAATGAAATATTTAGGAATGACTCTTATGAAAGAAGTGAAAGACTTATACAGTGAAAAGTATAATACAGTGAAAAAAGAAATTGAAGATGATCTCAGAAAATGGAAAGACATCCCTTGCTCAAGGATAGGAAGAACAAACATTGTGAAAATGGCCATTCTCCCAAAACTGTTACACAGATTCTATGCAATCCCAATAAAAATACAATCAACATACCTTATAGATCTAGAGAAATCACTCCTAAATTTCATCTGGAACCAGAAGAGACATAGAATAGCAAAGGCAATTCTAAGCAGCAAAGACAAAGCAGGAGGCATCAGAATCCCTGACTTGAAGTTGTTCTACAAAGCAACAGTAGTAAAATCAACATGGTATTGGAATCAAAACAGAGCCAAAGATCAATGAAATAGATTAGAAGATATAACCACAACTACAAACACACTCAACCACCTTATCTTTGATAAAGGAGCCAAGCAGGTTCACTGGAAGAATGACAGTCTAATCAATGCTGCTGGAAAAACTGGCTCTCCATTTGTCGAAAACTAAAGCTAGACCCATGTCTATCACCATGTACTAAATTAAAATCTAAATGGATCAAAGATCTGAATATTAAAACAGAAACACTAAATCTATTGGAAGACAAATTGGGTAGAAACCTTGAAGACATAGGAGTACGTAGAGAATTCATGAACAGGGCTCAAACCGCACGGGAAATCCTTGCCAGAATCAATAACTGGGACCACTTCTTACTAAAAAGTTTCTGCATGTCAAAAGAAATCTCCAGCATAATGAAAAGAAAACCCACAAACTGGGAAAGATTTTAGTCTCTCTCAGACAAGGGACTCTTGTCTAAAACATATAAAGAATTACAAAAACTCAGAACCCCAAAATTCAAAGATCCAATACAAAAATGGGCATCTGAGATGAATACACACTTCTCAGATGAAGAAATGCAAATGGCAAATAAATACATGAAAAAATGTTCATCATCATTGGTCATTAGAGAAATGCAAATTAAAACCACACTGAGATACCATCTCACCCCTGAAAGAACGGCCAGGATCAAGAAAACCAACAACAACAAATGCTGGAGAGGCTGTGGGGAAAAAGGAACTCTCCTACATTGTTGGTGGGAATGTAGACTGGTGCAGCCTTTGTGGAGGTCAGTCTGGAGGTTTATCAAAAAGCTGGGATTGGAAGTCCCATTTATTCCAGCTATTCCACTTCCAGGCATATTCCCAGAAGAACTGAAAGCAACATACTACAGTGATACATGTGCACCTATGTTTATAGCAGCACAATTTGTAATCGCCAGATCTTGGAAACAACCCAAGTGCCCATCAACTGGGGAATGGATAAAAAAGTGTGGTATTTCTATACAATGGAATATTATTCACCTATAAAGAAGGATCGCATTTAGATATTTATCAATAAAGGGGCGCAGCTTGAGACCATACTCATAAGTGAAATAAATCAATCCCGCATGTGTGAATACCAAATAGTTTCCCTAATGTAAGTAATGATTCAAATATATAAAAATATGTGGTAATCATGATTCCCCATTATGTGGCCTTGAAGCCTTATAAAGTTTTCACTTATTAATTGGAAAGGCTTTCTTCTGGGCTTCTTGATATGGAAATATTTAAAGTTATAGTATATGAAGTTTTATTCAAATATTTCAAGGAAAAAGACAGACACTATGGTAACTACTATTAAGTCGGGTTATTTGTTGGTGAAGCACTAGGTTGCTGAAACAGTCATGCTTTGACCTCTATTGTTATACTGTTATGTCCTGTTTTATCTCAATCTCTCCCTTATTCGTTAAAAAAATATTTAGTTATTTTTATGGTTTTTTTATTTAAGGGGAAAATTTTAAAAAATTAGCAGGATATATAATAGTAACTATTTTTGATTTCCTATTAACTTCTTTTGAAGTCCTGTAATACTCCCACTATCTTGTTTTGACTGATTAGACTCTGTTCCATTGTGTATGATAGTATCAAGTTTGAGGGTATAGGCAACTACTTTGAAGGCAATAAGATTCACTAAGATACCCATGCTGGTTTGACTATTGTCTCCTTTGGAAGTCCTGTAATGTTTACAATGCCTAAGTTTTATTCATCTTAGGGGTTAGGGTCAGTTCCAGACAAGCTGGACCTCAGGGACACTGTGCGCCCACCTGCCCCTTGGAAGCTCCACAGTTCTTCAATCGCAGCCGGGTTAGGGTACTCACCACAGGCCACAGTGCCTCAGGAACCTGTGGACCCTCCCTGCTTGCAGAGATATCCACAGTCCTCCAGACACACGGAGAGGCGATGCAGGCACCCCAGATCCGCCCAGCTCCTCCTCTGTACACTGATGGCTAGGCGTGGCCGCAAAACAGGCTGGGCTAGGCTGATAGTGTGGGCCCGCCCACACGTCGGGAGCTCAGCAGTTCTCCAAGTGTAACCAGAATGGGGAGGCTGATGTGGAAGCCTCAAACCCACCTCTCCCCTTCACTGCACCTGGAAGCCTGGGGGGACTCCAACAGTCTGGGCGGAGATATCCAGAGTCCTCCAGACACGCAGAGAGGCCGGTGAGGGCACCCCAGATCTGCCCAGCTCCTCCTCTGCACACAGATGGCCAGGCGCGGCAGCTAAACAGGCTGGGCTAGGCTGATAGTGTGGGCCGACCATTCTTTTTAAGGAAACAAGAGACAAGGTTGATAACCATTGTTGATAACCTTGTACTCTGTTCTACACCATGTGCTATGTCTATCCTTGGTTTTGACTGACAGCTTTGTTTTGCCATATTTGACTTTATTCTCACCCCTCAAAAAAGTAATAAGAACTAAGGAGTAATAAAACCCAAATTGTGTAAATTTTGTTGTAAAAAAGAGAGGGAAAAAAAGAGCTCTAAAGGATACAACAGCAAGTGTGTTTAGGGGTGTTAAATAGCTGACCATATCAATGTTTTTGGTTGTATCATTGAACACAACTGTTTGCAGTCTCACTGTTTGAATGTCCACTTTGTATGCTTTGATACTGTGATTTGAGCAACTATCTCTAAGATGATAATATGTAATCTATTAACTGGTGATTTCTTACTGTTTTTTTTTTTTTTTTTTTTTTTTTGTAATTCTGTATTACTTGTACCGTTACACCGCTTTGTTTTGTTTTGTTTTTTCTCTTTTTCCTTTTAAATAAAATTTAAAAAAATAAAATAAAATAGAGTACTACTCAGGTTTAAAGAATGATAACATTGAGATATTTATAAATAAATGGATGCCTTGAGCCCATACTCATAAGCGAAATAAATCAGACTCACATGTAGAAATACCATATAGTCTCCCTTAAGAAATGGTATGTGTACATAAGAATTTATGGTAATCATGATTCCCCATTACATTGGTTTGGAGCCTTATTAAGTCTGTATTCATTCGTTGGAATTGTTTTATCCTAGTTTGTTTGATTTTATTATCTGTGATAGTATGAACAGCTATTTTGAAGAAAACAAGACATTAGAATAGCCAGAGCTGATTTAGCATCATCTTACTCTAAAGTTGTACTATGCTTTTTTTTTTTTCTGTTTCCTTTGGTTCTATCATGTCGTATCTTATTGGAAATTATTGTAAGTGATAACCTAAACAAATTTTCTATAGACAGTGAGATAATATAGTAGCCATTGTTCATTCTGTGCTGCTTGGTTCTGAAAGCCCTGTAATGATCTCATTCTCTTTAATGGTTTTATACTGTTTTGTTATGTTTGATACTATTGTATATGAAACTATGATCAATTAATTCAAAGAAAGAGGCATTATGGTAGTTACTGTGGTTTGTTTTGTGGTAAAATGATGTGTTTCTTGAATTGTTCTGATATGATCTGCTTTGTTATGTCCTCTTTTGTCTTAATCTATTTAAAATTAAAAAAATAAAATAAAAACTTTCCTTTTCATTTCCACTTCCCTATCTCCTCTATTAACATTCCTATTAGGCTTTGTTAATCTTTAAATACTTAGTTAACTCTATTTTTGTTGTTATTTTCTATTGTTAATCATAGTATTATTGTTTCATTTATTATACATTTATTGTATATCAGTAATTAATATACAGTTCTGTATACATTATTATTATTATTATTCTACATTTATTTATACTCATGAATGGTTGAGTGGCACTTTATTTGTTCTTGTATTACACGAATATCCAATTTCTCTTGGAGTCTATTGTTATTGATTTCTTTTCTACTTTTGTGATATAATTGTGGCTATGATTGGAGTTTAGTATGTGGCAATATCTGCTTTGTCTTGAACCACCAATGCTACTGCAGTTTATTTATAAGAAAATAGCATTAAGCCAATTACACCACACCCTTTCCTCCTCAAATTAACAGAAGTGATGAAATGTTGAGGTAAGCAAAGTATTAAAATTATTGATGCTGAGTGCATCACTGAAAATAAGACCCTCATTAAAGAGATCTACATCTAGCAATAAACTCCAATCTTAGAAGTCCTCAAATCTTAATGTGCACACATACATGCATGTGCCTGCACACAGACACACTCTCACACAGAGTATTAAACATAGGCAAATGGGGCAAGAAAATATCTCCAATAGACCCACTGCCACAAAACTCATCCACAGGGAATCCATGAGGAAAAAAAAATATAAAGCCAAACACTTAAATTATACCAAAACATAAAAGAGAAAAGAAAACAGATTGATAATGTGCTTGGTGAGAGGAGGAGCTGGGCAGATCTGGGGTGCCCTCACTGGCCTCTCTGCGTGTCTGGAGGACTCTGGATTTCTGCGCCCAGACTGCTGGAGTTCCCTCAGGCTTCCAGGTGCAGTGAAGGAGAGAGGTGGGTTTAAGGCTACCACATCAGCCTCCCCATTCCCGGCTTCATTTGGAGACCTGCTGAGCTCCCGATAGGTGGGCTGGCGCACACTACCAGCCTAGCCCAGCCTGTTTAGCTGCCGCGCCTGGCCATAGGTCTGCAGAGGAGGAGCTGGGCAGATCTGGGGTGCCCTCACTGGCCTCTCTGCGTGTCTGGAGGACTCTGGATTTCTGCGCCCAGACTGCTGGAGTTCCCTCAGGCTTCCAGGTGCAGTGAAGGAGAGAGGTGGGTTTGAGGCTTCCACATCAGCCTCCCCATTCCCGGCTTCATTTGGAGACCTGCTGAGCTCCCGATAGGTGGGCTGGCCCACACTACCAGCCTAGCCCAGACTGTTTAGCTGCCGCGCCTGGCCATAGGTCTGCAGAGGAGGAGCTGGGCAGATCTGGGGTGCCCTCACCGGGCGCTCTGCGTGTCTGGAGGACTGTGGATATCTCTGCAACCAGGGAGGGTCCACAGGTTCCTGAAGCACTGCAGCCTGTGGTGAGTACCCTAACCCGGCTGCCATTGAAGAACTGTGGAGCTTCCAAGGGGCAGGTGGGTGCACAGTGTCCCTGAGGCCCAGCTTGTCTGGAACTGCGGAGTTCTGAGCAGGCAGAGGAGGGCCACTGGTTCTGTAGGCCTAATGGCTTGGAGTAGTGCGGCGCCAGAGTCCCAGTAGCTCCAAACATAGAAGGGGATTTTCAACAGATCCTGAGGAAGCTTTCAAATAACACTTGAAACACAGAAATATAGGAAAATGACAAAACGAAAGACCAAATTACAACCTCAAACCTCCAGCCCATCTCAAGAAACCCTAGGAGCGATGTATATAGAAGAAAATATATCCCATCCACCTCATATATCGGACACAATGGCCACTGAAATTGACAAGCAACTCCAGGAAGCTTTAAAGAAATTCAAACTCGAAATAATCTCCCAGATAAAAGAAGAAATGATAAAAGAAATGAAAGAGATTCTAAATATATCTAAAGAAAACACAGATAAAAAATTGGAGGAACTAAACAAAAAGATAGAATCCCTAGACGAGCAATATAAGAAACAAACAGAATACATAATGCAGATGCACAGAGATATACAGGAAATAAAAAACTCCACGGAAAGTTGTAAAAACCGCCTTAATGAAAGTGAAGATAGAATTTCAGACCTTGAAGACAGGATTGCAGCTAGTGAACAGGAAAGGAAAGATCTTTTGAAAATAACAAGAAACCAGGAAACAACAATTCAACAACTGCAAGACGATGCAAAAAAGAATAACATAAGAATGATAGGGGTTAATGAAAGAGAGGGAGACAACATGAAGGATGTCAGGAGGATATTTAGAGAAGTAATAGCTGAAAATTTCCCAAGCATGAGATCAGAAACTGACATCAGGATCAGTGAAGCATATAGAACTCCAAACAGTCATAACTAAAATAAAACTACACCCAGACATATAATAGTCACCATCCCAGAAATCCAACACAAGAATAGATTATTAAAAGCTGTCAGAGAGAAAAGACAAATCACTTATAAAGGAAAACCTATCAGAATCACAGCAGACTTCTCAGCACAAACGATAAAGTCAAGAAGAGCATGGAGTGAAGTACTCCAGATCCTAAAGCAAAATGATTTCCAACCAAGACTGATATATCCTGCAAAACTATCATTCAAAATAGATGGTGCAATATGATACTTCCATGACAAAGAACAGCTGAAGAACTTCATGAACACCAAACCAACTCTGCAAAAAATATTGAAAGACAGTTTAGATACACAAAGGAAAAAACCACAAAGCAAAGCAGATAATTAAACAGAACAGAAAGATAAAGATGCAACAGCAGAGAGATAACATTCCTACAATTAACCAGCATTTAACAGTAATAACCATTAATGTAAATGGTCTCAATGCACCAATCAAAAGAAACAGACTAGCAGAATGGATCAAGAAACAAAATCCAACCATATGCTGTTTACAGGAAACCCATCTAACCCAGAAAGATACTCACAGACTGAAAGTCAAAGGATGGAAAACAATTCTTCATGCAGCAGGAATCCAAAAAAAGGCAGGAGTAGCCATTCTGTTTGCAGACAACGTGAACTTTAAACCACCAATGACCATAAAGGACAAAGAAGGTCACTACATACTCGTAAGGGGAAAACTCCAAGAGGAAGAGATAACTATCTTAAATATATACGCACCAAACTCCAGAGCACCCAGTTACATAAAACAATTATTAACAGAAATGAAAACTCAAATTATCAGTAACACAATTGTAACAGGAGACCTTAATACACCACTGACACCAAGGGACAGATCAACCAGACAGAAAATGAGCAAAGAAATAACAGAATTGAATCACACGTGTGAACAAATGGGTTTGATAGACATATACAGAACGTTCCACCCAACAACATCAGAATACACATTCTTCTCAGCAGTACATGGATCATTTTCTAAAATAGACCATATATTAGCTCACAGAACATATTTAAGCAAATGCAAAAGAGTTGAAATCATGCCTTGCATATTATCGGATCATAGCGCTCTGAAATTAGAAATTAATGACAAAGGATACTGCAAAAATTCCGCAAACACATGGAAACTAAATAACACACTCTTGAGTAATCAGTGGGTCACAGAAGACATTAAAGAAGAAATTAAACAATACCTAAAAGAAAATGAAAATGCAGATACAACTTACCGGAATCTGTGGGATGCAATGAAAGCCGTTCTGAGAGGAAAATTTATTGCACTGAGTTCCCACATCAGGAAAACAGAACGAATACAAATAAATAACTTGATGCTACACCTCAAACAGCTAAAAAAAGAAGAACAAGTCAAGCCCAAAGCCAAAAGAAGAGAGGAAATTATAAAAATCAGAGCAGAAATCAATGCAATAGAGACTAAGAAAACAATCCAAAGAGTCAACGAATCAAAAAGTTGGTTCTTTGAAAGAATAAATAAAATCGATAAGCCCCTAGCCAACCTTATTTAAAAAAGGAAAGAAAAAGCTCAAATTCATGCAATAAGAAATGAAAAAGGAGAAATCACTACAGACCCAATAGAAATACAGAGGATCATCAACACCTATTTCGAAAACCTCTACTCTCAAAAGTTTGATAACACAGAAGAAATAGACAGATTCTTAGAAGCATATGAAGTACCAAAGCTAGATCAAGAGGATATAAAACTGTTGAATAACCCAATCTCTGCTAATGAAATTGAGAATGTAATTGGGTCCTTGCCCACCAAGAAGAGCCCAGGCCCAGATGGATTCACTGCAGAATTCTACAAGAAATATAAAGAAGACCTAATGCCGACACTCCTCAAACTATTCAATGAAATTGAAAGGGAAGCAATCCTTCCTAAGTCATTCCTGGAAGCAAATATTACTCTAGTACCAAAACCTGAGAAAGACCCAACTATAAAAGAGAACTATAGACCGATCTCCCTAATGAACACAGATGCAAAAATCCTCAATAAAATATTGGCAAATAGGATCCAGAAAATCATCAAGAAGATTATACACCATGACCAGGTGGGATTCATCCCAGGAATGCAAGGATTGTTCAACATACGCAAATCAATAAATGTAATCCATCATATCAATAAAGCCAAAAATAAGAATCACATGTTCATCTCTATAGATGCAGAAAAAGCCTTCAATAAGGTCCAACACTTATTCATGATAAGAACTTTACAGAAAATTGGAATAAATGGTCTTTACCTCAATATAATAAAGGCCATTTATGACAAACCAACAGCCAGCATCATACTAAATGGCCAAAAATTGAAAGCCTTTACTTTAAAATCGGGTACAAGACAAGGATGTCCTTTATCACCACTCCTATTTAATATAGTACTGGAAGTACTAGCCAGAGCAATTAGGCAAGAAAGAGAAATAAAAGGGGTAAAGATAGGAAAAGAAGAAGTTAAATTATCATTGTTTGCAGATGACATGATACTCTACATAGAAGACCCCCTAAACTCCATTGAAATACTCTTAGATACAATAAATAAATTCAGTAATGTGGCTGGATACAAAATCAATACTCAGAAATCAATAGCATTCCTATAGACGAACAACAAAATCACAGAGAGGGAAATAAGAGAAACTGGACTATTCACATTAGCAAGCAAAAAAATGAAATATTTAGGAATTACTCTTAGGAAAGAAGTGAAAGAGTTATACAGTGAAAATTATAATACACTGAAAAAGGAAATTGAAGATGATCTCAGAAAATGGAAAGACATCCCTTGCTCATGGATAGGAAGAACAAACATTGTGAAAATGGCCATTCTCCCAAAACTGTTATACAGATTCAATGCAATCCCAATAGAAATACCATCAACATACCTTATAGATCTAGAGAAATCACTCCTAAATTTCATCTGGAACCAGAAGAGACCTAGAATCGCAAAGGCAATTCTAAGCAGCAAAGACAAAGCAGGAGGCATCACAATCCCTGACTTGAAGTTATACTACAAAGCAACAGTAGTAAAATCAACATGGTATTGGAATCAAAACAGAGCTGAAGATCAGTGGAATAGATTAGAAGATACAACCACAACTACGAACACACTCAACCACCTTATTTTTGATAAAGGAGCCAAGCAGGTTCACTGGAAGAACGACAGTCTCTTTAATAAATGGTGCTGGAAAAACTGGCTCTCCATTTGCCGAAAACTAAAGCTAGACCCATGTCTATCACCATGTACTAAATTAAAATCTAAATGGGTCAAAGATCTGAATATTAAAACAGAAACACTAAATCTATTGGAAGACAAAATAGGTAGAAACCTTGGAGACATAGGAGTAGGTAAAGAATTCATGAACCGGACTCAAACCGCACGGGAAATACTTCCCAGAATCAATAACTGGGACCACTTCTCATTAAAAAGTTTCTGCATGTCAAAAGAAATCTCCAGCATAGTGAAAAGAAAACCCACAAACTGGGAAAAGATTTTAGTGAACTCTCTCTCAGACAAGGGCCTCTTGTCTAAAACATACAAAGAATTAAAGAAACTCAGACTTCCGAAATTCAAAGATCCAATCCAAAAATGGGCATCTGAGATGAATATGCAATTCTCAGATGAAGAAATGCAAATGGCAAATAAATACATGAAAAAATGCTCATCATCATTGGTCATTAGAGAAATGCAAATTAAAACCACACTGAGATACCATCTCACTCCTGAAAGAATGGCCAGGATCAACAAAACCGACAACAAATGCTGGAGAGGCTGTGGGGAAAAAGGAACTCTCCTGCACTGCTGGTGGGAATGTAGACTGGTACAGCCTTTGTGGAGATCTGTCTGGAGATTTCTCAAAAAGTTGGGACTGGAAATCCCATTTATTCCAGCTATTCCACTTCTAGGCATATTCCCAGAAGAACTGAAAGCATCATACCACAGTGATATATGTGCACCTATGTTTATAGCAGCACAATTTGTAATCGCCAGATCTTGGAAACAACCCAAGTGCCCATCAACTGAGGAATGGATAAAAAAGTTGTGGTATTTCTATACAATGGAGTATTATTCAGCTATAAAGAAGGATCACATTGAGATATTTATCAATAAATGGGCGCAGCTTGAGACCATACTCATAAGTGAAATAAATCAATCTCGCATGTGTGAATACCGAATAGTTTCCCTAATGTAAGTAATGATTCAAATATATAAAAATATGTGGTAATCATGATTCCCCATTAGGTGGCCTTGAAGCCTTA